CTCTTTACATTTTAATCATCTATTTAGCATGCCTTGGAGGAAGCTCAGTAACAGGCCTGTCTGCCTCCTCCTCAGGGCTGCCTTGAAGAGGCCCATGACTTCTCCTGGGCCGGGGAGGTTAGGGGGGGACACCAAGCATGGACAGCATCCCATCACATCCCTGAAATCTGAGGGGAAACCACTAAACCTACCCAGTGCTCTGAGAATCCCTTCCCTCAGCAGCAAGGCCCATTTCATTCCCACATGGCATTATGGTCAGCAGCACCATCAGACTTCCAGATCCGAGTGCCATCCGGGCCTAACACAGGGTTCCCAAAGTACCACAGAAAGGTGGTGTGAACATTCCAGGTACAGCAGTTGCACTGCTGAAATGTTTGGGACTGTGTATGGAATCTGCTGAGGGGCAACACCAATAAAACATTGCTCTAACAAGACCTATGTCCTTCTGTGGGTTCTTTCAAACAGCTGTTGCCAAATCCTTCTGGATGCTCCTGAACAAACTTTCAGGGATTAAAAGCTCCAAGGCTTGGTGTTCTGATGGCACCTCTCATACCCTGTGCCCTGAGAAGGAGCAGCTGCTCTGGGCACACACTGACAGGGTAATACTTGCAATCTGAAGCTCATTTTCTTCCACAAATAGAGAAATGGATAAGGGCCACAGTCCGTGAGAGCTTGCACTCCAACAACAACTATAGAAAAGGAGATTTATTGACAATTAAATTAAGAAATGGCTTTGTGGGGGGGGGTGAAAGGGTGGGAAGAATCCATGCTCTCATGCTAGGTGTGAGACTCTTCCTCATCTTCCCGCTTGAGCTGCTCGATGAGCTGCTGCCTCTCTGCTGCCTGGCGCATCCTCATCATCACCAGGCTCTCGTAGTCCCTCTCCGACACCACTGAGGCCTGGGAGAGAGCAGGAAGCACACACAACCCATCAGAGACAGCACAGACCCCTGTCCCCTCTCCAAACCCCCCTCACAGCACAGGTATTCCTGGCAGGAAGGTGTTCATGGCAGTTTGACCCCACAGAAATGAGGTGAGGTGTGAACCTGCCTGGCTACAGAAAACAACCTGCTTCCTGAGCCTGGGTGATGAGGAAAGCAGGACAGACAGGGAGTCTGCATTCCTGAATTTCCCTCTTGCTGCTGGAGCTGCTCCCTGCTCCCCACAAGGAGCATATTTTTGGGAGACAAGCTGCCCCTGCACTTGCAACACTAAGCTCAAAGTCCAGAGCACACTTCAGCCGTTATAAAGGCTAATGCCATAAAAAATCAAACCTTTGTGGATTAGTCATGGAAGTGACTAACTTCCAACTGTCTGTCCAGAGGTTCCTCAGGTTGCCCAGAGAAGCTGTGGCTGCTCCATCCCTGCAAGTGTTCCAGGCCAGGCTGGATGGAGCTCTGAGCAGCCTGAGCTAGTGGAAGGTGACCCTGCCCATAGCAGGGGATGGAACTGGATGATCTTTAAGGTCCCTTCCAACCCAACCCAATCCAGGATTCTATGATTCTAATGGTTGGGACTCAATGATCTTAGAAGTCTTTTCCAACCTGAAAAAATCTATGACTCAGAAAAACCCACCAGGTATGTTCCCAAACCTCAGTTCTCCAAAGCTCCTGGAGTCTTCCTGTTGCATGTGGTAGTAACTGTCACATCAACCCAGCTGATTGCAGACTCTGCCTAATGAACGTGGGCAGCAGATGACAGCTGCTATGGTTGGGACTCAATGATCTTAGAAGTCTTTTCCAACCTGAAAAAATCTATGACTCAGAAAAACCCACCAGGTATGTTCCCAAACCTCAGTTCTCCAAAGCTCCTGGAGTCTTCCTGTTGCATGTGGTAGTAACTGTCACATCAACCCAGCTGATTGCAGACTCTGCCTAATGAACGTGGGCAGCAGATGACAGCTGCTACGGCGCTTTGGCACTCTGCTTCCAGAAGTCATTCCACACTAGTAGGTGGCCGTGCTATTTTGGATGTCTGAAAGCACTGCAAGGCTCGGAAACATCCAGCTTGTTTCCTTGACAGTTCAGGTAGAAATAAAAGCATCATGACAGAAGGTGAATGAAAAAAAAAAACCAACACCATATTTTTCTAGGAACTGGATTTAGTGGTGATTGCAGAGAATCAAGGAATCACAGAATGGTTTGGGTTGGAGGGGGTCTTAAAGACCACCTAGTTCCAACCTCATGCCACAGGCAGTGACATCTTCCACTACACCAGGTTGTTCCAACCTGGCCTTGAACACTTCCAGGGATGGGGCAGTCACAGCTTCTCTGGGTATTTCAGGACATCTTAGGAAGCAGAAGGGATTAAAAGGCAATAGAATGGCTAAATAAGACTCTGCATGAAAATGGCATGAGCTCAATTTGTTATCACGTGCCAGCAAAGTGGTTCCTCCGGCTGTGAGGACAAACTGGAAGCCCAAAACAGATGAGGAAAACTGAGGGGGAAATTAAAGAGCCTAATGAGTGTCTTAGGAGCCACATGAATGAAATGACCTTTGCATTTTGGCAGCACTAGTGCCTGAGAAAGCATAGATGGTATCAGCCCTGAGAGGCAGAACTAAGCTCCTTCGAAGCTCCTGTCCACTAACCACAGCTATGTGCTGGGCTGGATGGAAGAGGCTGTGTGAGACTCATGCAGATGATTCACCCACACAAACCTGAATCCCCACCTTGCACTCAGATTTAAATTTAAAACAGACAGGAGATTATTTCCAGCCTGGTTTGGGAGCCTTGCTGACACAAGGAGCTGTCAGAGTGGCAGGAGGGAGGAGAACAGCCTCCTCAAGGTGGGCTCCATGCAGGTATTGATGCTGGCAGTTCCCAGCAGCCCGGGAGCCTCCAAGGAGCTCACCCACTCCTCAGGCAGCGTGGGCTGAGGCTTTGCCACTCCACACACCTACTTCCTGCAATCCTGGCAATTACCAATCGTGTAAAACCCAGTTTCTGACGTGGCTGACTCAGCAAGGGCTTGGCTCAAAACAAACACATCCGCGCAGGGAGCCGCAGCGACGGGAGGCACATGAAGAGACAGGGGCAGCAGCCTTGGGGATTTTTACCAGTCTGGGGCCAACCTGGCTGAATTCCTGAACTCCTGGCTGAGTTGTTCCTGGACTTGCTTCTTCATCCTGGTGAGTGTGGCAGGCACAGTTCTATGAGTGCTCCAGCAGCTTCTCCTCTTCATCCCTGGACTCAGGGCTTCTCCGACACTCCGTAAGTCTCCTTTGCATTCAGTTCTCCCAATATTTGTCTTTCGTTTTGTCGCTTGTTACATCCCTCTTTGCCTGTATTCCCCTGGTTCCCCCAGTGGGACTGAGTCACCGTCACCTTCCCAACCACCCACAGAGATTTTCCTGCGGTGCCCCTCCACAGAAGGTGGCTGGTTACCATGGCACCCAAGTGCCCTTCTGTTCTAGATGCCAGATTAGATCTGTTCTCATGGTGACTGTGTGCTGTTCCTCACCAGCCTGGTGCGGCAGCACACGTCTAACAAGCTCAGACACTCTCTTCTTCTCCACGAAAGAAGGAGACTCCTTAAGATCCAAGACAAGCCAACTGCTCCTTACCACAGCGTGGAGTTTGTATTTCCTGCACTACCTGCCTCTCTGTTTTCCTTCCAGCTACAGGAACGAGGAAGGAAGAGGCTGTTCCTGTTGCGTAGCTTGTTGCTGATCCTGAGGCTTAAGTCCTACTCCTGCCTGTGAGGAGTCAGCAGTTTCCTTCTCCTCGTTGCCTCTTCTCAGCATGGATACTTGGCGCAGAGGGTCCATCAAGTCTACCACCTTCTTCAGACGTTTCTCTCTCAGAAGGCACAAAAAACTGGGCAATCAAGTCATCATCCTGAACCAGAACAGCCACACTCTGGACACTGATGGCCAGAAGAGAGAATGCTTGAGGGATCTGAAGGACAAGTCTGATTACCTGTCATGTCAGAGTGAGCAGAACCTGGCCAAGGCACAAGCCCCTCCCAAGCCTCCCCGGCTGTACCTGGACAGTTCCAGCTGCCCCAACATCATCGATCACACAGATTCCCACTCTGACCTCTCCTTTTCTGACGCTGCTCAATACCACAAAGCCACTCAAACGCAGTTTCACAAGGACCAGGCTACAGACCATGGGACCTCAGAGGCAGGTTCCCAGAATGGCACTCTTTCTGACCTGGCTGATCCCTTCCTCTCCTTCAAAGTGGATTTGGGGCTATCACTGCTGGAGGATGTTCTGCAGACCCTTAGGAAACAGAACCCAAGGGATTATGCCATTTGAAGGTATTTATCATTCCACACATCCCATTTACCCACTGCTGCTGCTGGTTCCTCTCATCCCAGCAGGAGAAAGGATGCTGCAGCATGCCTGTTGTGTGTGGCTTGTGTTGTCCTCACCTCACCTACCACAGACTGTCCCTGTCCTTGCCAAGGAATCCTCTGGAGCAGAGCTCAGTTGCTCCATGCTCAGGTGAGAGCACTGTCTGCTGCAACCTTCTGGGCAAACTTCCACTCTTCACCCTGGGAATTTCCCACTCTGGACTGTGAGTCTCTTCCTCAGGGAAGAATAGCATTGTTTGGGAAAAAAACTTGTTATTTTGGGGATGTGGCTGTGACACTGCAGGGCACGGACATACAGGGATTTGGCATGGATCACTTATGGAATAGCAGCTTGCAAGGAGACAGCAGCACTGCACCTCAAAGCCATAGCTGTGGCAAGGGTCAAGAGACAGGAACTGGGGTTTCTTCTCCCACCATGTCTGGATGTGAAAAATCAAAGCTGTCCTTTTATTTCCCTCCTTGTGGGTTTCTTTTCCCCTAACTCCAGTGCAGTTGGCACTCCCAGCCTGGAAGCAGGTAAGCATCCATGTAAGCTTGTGATACAGCACCAGCAGTTGATTTATCCTCCTGGCAGGAGAAGAGATGTCCCTAGACACTGCTGCCTGATGCATGCACTGAGGTCCCAGCTGTACAGACATGGAAGAATAAATGTATCTGTGACTGGAAGTGTCTGGTTGCCTCATTTCATTGGTAACAAGCCACAAAAAGCCCAGGCACAGGGAGCACAGGGTATCTGGAGTGGCCAAGATCCATCCTCCCTGGCACTGTAGGTTTTTATGAGGCAGAGGAAGCAGTGTGGCTCTGCATTTCTGGGCTGGGGGAAGGAGAGAGCTGCTGGGACTTTATTTTTTCCCTGAGGAGAGCTCACACATCTCAGGGCAAGACCCAGTTCTTCACTCCTGAGCTGGAGAGTGGGATGGGCTCTGCCAGACTAAGAACATTTTATGGAGCATTGGAAAAAATTATACAATGCAGAGACTATTGAGTCACCAATTCTTACCTTTTTGATAGATTAGATATTAGGGATCTTTTAAATATAAATATAATGAAACCTCCATGCCTCCAGACCACCAGGAGCTTTGGAAGTGGTTACAGCAAAGCGTAGGGACATTCCAGAGAAGGCACAGCTGGCTCTTACTCTGCTGGATTCACCTCTAAAAATCAAACAATATGAAACAAATTCTATGCAGCCTCCAAGGAGCTTAGAAAAGGTGCAAGAGTGCCAGGCAAGAGGCTTTTCTCAGGGGTGAATGGCTGAGGAGCACTGGCAGGGAGATCCCACTGCAGAGGCAGGGATAACCTTCCCAAACCTGAATGCTGAGATGCTGCTGTAGTGGCAAAACAAGCTCTTCACAGTACTGTATAGCTGCTGTGTGCTTTGAACCGTTCAGAGCTTCAGCAATCAAGCAGTCATTGCTCTCAATAGCCTGGAGTAACACTGGCCGAGCCACAGGTTTTGTAATCCAAGGGGAACTCGCCTGATTGACTCCAGCAGCTCTCCAGGAACTGCTGGACAACGTGCACTCACTGCTGTAGGAGAAAATAAGCTGTGGAGGTGAGTAGCCTGCACCTTACTGCCTCCTCACAGCACAACAGTCAGCCCTGCTTCCAGCTGGGAAACACTTCCAACCCTCCCTGGTCAGGTTAGGTCTGGCTGTCCTTCACCTGCACTCAGATCCTGGCTGACTACTCCAGGCAGGGACACCTGGATGATTAGCCCAGGCAGGGAGCAGAGGATGACTAGTGAGCATGTTGCCATGAGAACGCTGCAGGTCCTGGGCTGTTTCCTGAGGCAGAACATGGAAGGAGCTGCCTTGGCACAGAGCGGGAACAAACATGGGGGTGGATTCAGACAAAAATAAGGGGGAGAAGCAAATAGGAAGCGAGGGCAGCTTAAATCAGAATGAGATTAGTGCAGCTTGGAAGCGAGAACGTGGATCCTGATGGCTAAGAAGCTAGGCTGGGGGTGAAAGGAAGGGGCAACAAGGATCTGAAGGAGCTCATTCTGCACAGTTTAGAGCTAGAGATCTGAGGGCAAACTAAGTCAGATGGAAGCAGAACAGCCTAAGAGGAGCTATGTCCACATTACAGACTTTGGAAGCATCCTGGTGGATACAGCAGCAGGATTGGGGGAGGGTCTGGAGTAGAAACTAGGCAGAGCAGGAACCAGAGCAGCTTGGATCCAAGGCTGCAATGCAATTCCAGAAATTGCAGGTGCTTACAGATAAAAGCTGCAGAAAGGACAGCCAAGCAGCCCCCTGGAAGGATGAAAGTCACTGGCACTAACTCCTCACCATCCTGAGAGCTCATATGGGATTGAGGAGGCTCTGCTGGACACAGGTGAGTCACCAACTCCACACAGCAGCATGAACACCACTTGCTGCTTTACTGCTCTCCCTCTGCCCTACCACATTAAGTTTTCACCACAAGCCAATGCTGCTCTTCCACACTAACAAGCTTTGGGCATGGAAACAGGCCAAGATAAACTTAGGGATTCGAACACACAGAGGGAAGAGTCCACTACCAAGCTCCAACTGCACCAGCAGCTCCCTTTGATAGGAATGAACCAGTTCTCATTCTCTGCCAGTGAGAAATACTCAAATTACGCAGTTTGGATTCTGCTTTTTGCCCCAATTTCCTTTCTAACACTCTCTGGTCACCTCTGTGAATCTCCTGTGTCTGCAGGACTCTCCCTGGTTCTGCATGGATACAATAACCACCAAGAATTCTGGTGCAAAAATGCAAATACTGCAAGTAAAGGACCTGCTATAAATAAAGATCCTCTCAGCAAGGAGATTTTTGGATCTTTATACCAAAGAGAAGAAGGTGAGAAGAGTTAAGTGTCACAGGAAGTTTGAACAAGAACTCAAACAACCAGCAAAGGATCAGGGGTCCCTTCCCACCTTCCCAGCCAAGGAACTGCTAACTAGGTCAGAAGACATGCAGCTTGCACTCAGAATAACCACACTGGTGAAGAGAAATTCAGACAATGAGGTGTCTGCAAGGCTATTTAGTTTGATATTGCCTTCTCCTCCCTCCTGCAGATCCTAAAAATAGTGGTTTCCTTCCAGCACTGAAATTTCCTCCTCCGGTGAATGCAGTTAGTAACAGCTTCTCCAAAGAAACCTTCTAGGAGACCTATTTCAGCAGCTGTCAGCCAGAGATTCCCACAGTCAACATATATTAACATATATAATATTCCAGCAGAATGGCATTAGAGGCTTTGGATTGAGCAAGAAACACCCTTGTTCTTCACTTGGAAGAGACTGACATTGTGTGAAAATCCAGTCACCCAAACAGCTTGAATTCACAGTGTGCTGCTCCTCAGGCAAGAAGTCCTTTAAGAAGCCACTGCCAGTGGGAAAGCCAGGCCTGTCATCAAGAGTTTCTTCTCAGCTCTTATCTGACCATAGCTACAAAGCTCACTGTGAAATTTAGGTTGCTATAGCAATAGACTGAAATCCCACGTTCCCTGTCTCCTTACCTGTGAGGTCCTGGGCTGGCTGGTGCTGTCAGACAGGACAGTGCTAGGATGGCTCCGGGGCTGCCCCTCCAGCCAGGAAATCTTCAGAGGATTATTTATCAGGCCAACTTCATTCTTCACAGCCATCTCCTAACAAGGAAAATATTCTTCCATCACCATCTGAATTTTAGGCCCTGCTCCTTCTAAGAATCATTTTCCCATCTCAGCATTGCCTCAAGGTCTAGTAGGCCACAAACAATGAAGACTCATCCCTGGAAATGTTCCAGGCCAGGCTGGATGGGGCTTGGAGCAACCCGGTCTAGTGGAAGGTGTCCCTGCCCATGGCAGGGGGTGGAACTGGATGGGCTTTAAGGTCCCTTCCAACCCGAACCATTCTCTGTCAGATTTCACAGCTGCACCTTTAAGGCTCAGCCCTGCACTAAGCACAGACAGAAGATATCCCTGTCAGTGCTCCTGATAAACAGGTCACACACAATTCTGGGTTAGTTTGTCCTTTGATTATGTGTATATGAGTGAAAGGACAAGTGACAAGGAAGAGACTCTTGTGCAGTCTAAGGTGATGAAGTTACTAAAAGAAGAATAACTGATGGTTTATGTTTCCACAGCCATGTGAATTATTAAAACTCATAGTGAGTCAAGACATTTTGATTTGTTTTTCACTGCAAATACCTGATATCACCTCTAAAACACACAAGCTCATCTCCAAGGTAATTCACCTGCAGTGAGAGCTGATTGACTGAGCTCTCCCTGATTTTTAAGGCAGTCTCTCTTCCCTCAGCCCGTTCCATGCACAACCTGTTTATGTGCCTGATCTGCTCTGGGTTTGTGCCTCCAGCTCTGCCACTCCCTTCGTGCCTCTGTGCCTTTAGACTCTCATTACCCTTCTCCACTGCCTTAATGACAAGGCAGTCTCTGGGCTGTCATCCTGCTAACCCTCCCCTGCTGTGACATCCCTTCAGCCCACGCCTCACTACACAGCTCAGGGCTCTGCCACACTTACTGCTGCCTTAACTGTAGCAAATTCAACCACTGCACTCCCAGTCTTCCTGCTGGAGATCAACAAATTGAGCACATCACCATACTGTAAGGACAAAGCAAGGCAGAAAAGTTAATTACAGACCCAGGAGAGGTGTCAAGCTCATTTATAAAATCAACACAAAGAAAAAACGTGTTTTCATAGACATGAGGCTTGAACCACCATCATTTCTGTCCTGTATGATGCTTCCACTGATTCCAACCTGCCATAACTTCTGTCCCCCCAGGAAATAATCCTGGGGGGGCATGAAGCTACACACTTGGCTTCCAGCAAGCCCCAGTGGAAGAGGCTGCTCAGATGAGAGCCAGAGCTACAGGAGGAGAGAATGCATGGAGGGAGAATAGAGATGCCACGCTGGGAATAATCAGATCAAAGGCTTGTCTGTTCTTGTCTCTGCACTTCCCTCAGAAGTGATGTGGAGTGCTTTAAGTGAAGGAAAAGTGCACCACAACCACAGAGCCAGACTAACTGGGCAGGAAGCATTCAGTGGGAAAAGTTTGCAATTGCTCTGTATTAGTAGGAGTTCCTGCTAGGAGCCAGGCAGAGGTGTTAGCTTGGGAACAGCTCCCAGATCTTGGATCAAAGGATCAGACTTGGTTGAAAGGCTGGACTTGATGAGGCCTTTTCCAGCCTTAATGATTCTATGATCATGCTAATGATCTCTGAAAACTGCTTGAGAAAGCTGAACAGAGAAGAAAATGAGCCACTCCAGTTTATATCTTACGAGGGACTGGAGTGACAGAACGAGGGGGAATGGTTTCAAACTGACAGAGAGCATGTTTAGACTAGATGTTAGGAAGAAACTGCTCCCTGAGAGGGTGGAGAGGCACTGGCACAGGTTGCCCAGAGAAGCTGTGGCTGCCCCATCCCTGGGATTGTTCCATGACAGGTTGGACAGGGCTTGGAGCAACCGGGGCTAGTGGAAGGTGTCTCTGCCCATGGCAGGGGGTGGGACTGGATGGGCTTTAAGGTCTCTTTCAACACAAACCATTCCATGGTTTCCCACTGCCAGAAGGCAGGGCTAGATGGGATATTGCTTCCCAGAATTTACTATCCTAATACTACTGAGAGCAAGGAAGACCCAGTAGTGGGACAGAGGGTGTCAGACAGGACCTTCTGCAGGATCTGCAGCAGAACATCTTTGGAGTATCCCCCTCCTGTCTCATCTTCTTTCCTGCATTTCCATTTGAGCTGGGAAAGAAACAGCAGGAGTTAATTTTGTCCATCTGAACACACTGCCATGCTCAGTGCAGCTCCCACCCCCCGCACACTCATCACGTTTGCTATTTACAGCCACGCTCCCAGGACTGCCAAGACAGTGATCTCAACATGGGAATGAGCACAGGGAACAAACTGTTTGGGGAACAGGGAGAAATGTTGCTCACTGGAATAAAAAAAGATCATACTTGAAAGCATCTAGTAGCTCTGGTAGGGTAATAAGCAAATGTTTCCTTGTGCTTAAAGCAGAGACAACTCAATTCCAGGCTCAGATATCCAGAGCAGAGAAAAGGTGAGGGAGGAAGGAATTCCAACAGCATGGACAGGAGCTCTCACATGCATGATGCTCATTCCATGAGGGAGATTCACCTCCAGTGTAAAAAAGGATGTGCCAGCTCAGCAGGGTTGAAGTGTTCCCTCTGTTTTCCATCATGTTCCATCAGTTTTCACCAAACCCCAGCTTTTTAAGGATGTCTTACCTTGAGTTTAGGAGTTATTTTTCCTTCTGCTCCACTTCTTTCCTGCTTGCCTAAAGATGGGCAAGGCAAAAAACAAAGATGGAAAGGACATGGTGGGTAAAAATTCCTCAGCATTTAGCACACAATTTGCCCTGAGAACATACATATGGCAAGAGCAAACACTTTGAGATTTCTACTGGACCACAAAAGTCTTGTGCAACAGGAACTGCAGCACTGACTGAACATTCCATGTCAGCATTTTTGCCTTCTAGGACATCCAGACTTGCCATGATCAAGGCCAGAAACAGGTAAGTAAAATAAAAGCAGGAGACCTGTTAGGTTCTGAGACATTTTGCCCTGCAAGAGGGTTGTGCTGATGGGAACAAGTGTGAAAAAATTAAGGGCAGACAAAAAAGCAGGACAGCCCAGCCTAGGAATTTAATCTGGCCCTGAAATTAAATACTTTATAACAACGCTTTCACTACAAGGATCTCAGAGTGTTTCACACTATGGAAATTACTCCCAGGTTTGTGAAAATTGAAGGAAAACTTTAATTAAAAAGGGGCTAAATAATATGTGAAGTTAAGAAAGGCAAAGGTAGGTTGAATGACCTACAGGAAAAGCCTGGTGCCCCCAAAAGGTTTCTGTCTCTGGACCTCTGGTTGTTTTGGGTTTTAAACTCCTCAGAGCAGTAAGTTTTTGGACCTGCAGGTGAGCTCTGGCTCCCAAAGAGCTGAGTCCCACCTGCAGGGGGAGGTTCCAATCTCCTCTGTCCTCACCTTGGCTCTGCTGCTCCCTTTCCAGCCGGATCTGTTCCCTGATGAGCCTCTGCTGCTCCTCTAGCTGCCGGGAGCCTTCCTCACGCAGGCGGATTATCTGCGGCACAGGGAACACAGTAGGGACACCTGAGGGCACAGTTCCAGGGCTGGTTCATGGTACAGGCACTGCCACAGGGTGCCCAGAGAAGCTATGAATGCTCCATCCCTGGAAGTGTTCAAGGCCAAGTTGAGTCTTGGAGCAACCTGGGCTCGTGGAAGGTGTTCCTGCCCATGGCAGAGACTTGAACAGGTTAAGCTTTAAGGACCTTCCAACTCAAACCATTCTGGGATTCTATGATTCATAGATCCCATTAATCCCAAAGGCTGAAGCCCTTATATCCAGAGGTTTCCTGCATCTCATCCCATGGTTTTTATGATGACTGGACAGACTTGGAGGACCTTCCAAACCATTCTGGGATTCTATGATTCATAGATCCCATTAATCCCAAAGGCTGAAGCCCTTATATCCAGAGGTTTCCTGCATCTCATCCCATGGTTTTTATGATGACTGGACAGACTTGGAGCAATCTTTCTCAAAAGAAGTAGACAAATTAAGAAGTTATCATTACTTCTTCTTCTAGTGATCTGGTTATTCTCGACTCCTCCTCTTCATTCTCCTGCGTCTGAGCCTCTCGTTCTCTGGCTTCAAGATCTGCAGAGAAACAAAATTAAAACAACCTAAAGAGGATTTTAACTTCCTCTGCTGACCAGAGGTGGATGGAAAGATCACAAACTTGGCTACACCCATGTCAGAGCCCTTATAACTCTGCTACCTGTCCTCTGCCCCCATGATCAGCGGACTATCAGTCATCAAACACCTTAATTCCCAGAGCAGGACGTAATTCCTCCCTTCCCACAGCAGGATCATCCCAGCTATGACTGTGGGAGGAGATTTCAGATGGCTCTTGCATTGTACTGGGCACAAAGAAACCAGAACCATCACACATGGGCAGCAGATTGATCACTGGGGAAACACCCAGCTAAGAAAGACTTCAGGGGAACACGAAGGTTTGGATTTCTTACCAAGCTTTACTTTTTTCCTCTTCTCATCGAGTTTCTGTGTCCTTTCTGCAGCCTGTTTCTTTGCCTTCCTCACTCTGTCATATGCTGCCTGCCAGGGAACCAACACAACAGTGTGAAACCACAGAAATCAGGAGAAAAAAATGTAAAGCAGGGAATAAAGTGAGATCAGATACTGAAACACTCTCAGCAAGGGTAAAGTATTTGTTGCTGCTTGCTAGCAATCCTCCTGAAAGTGTTAGAAGTTAACATAAATATCCTGTAAACATGACAAGAGGCCCAAGGATCTCCAGATGGAGCCTGAAAGGGTGAGGAAGTCCAGGAATAACTTCAACATGTAATGGAGAGAAATTCTGACCCATCTGCAGAGGTGGGAAGAGTATTTTTGCTTCCTGAACATGCCAAAAGCAGCTTTAGGGGCACTGGTAACAGCTTTGGAGCAAAGTTTCACAATTACAAGGTCTACTTGATATGAAATATTTATTCACAGCCATGTTTGACTCCTATGGATGTATCAGATCAAAGAGCATCAGAACTTTGCAGCAGCAAAAACACATCAACATTAATTCAGCACTAGATTTAGGAACTGGGGCAAACTAACTGGTAATTTCACTGTTTAAACCAGTTGATAAAGTGTTTCTGAACCTGCACAGAACCTTTGTGTAGGAGGTAAGCACAGACTGGCCCACATATTACTGTTTTATCAATAGAAAAGCTCAGATTTTCCCTTTTTTTTTTTTTTTTACCCTTCCTGCACGGGAAAGGTTCGCTAAACATTTCTTCCTTTTTAAAACATAGAAGTCAAAAACCTCTTGGATGCCAAAAGCTGAATTCCCCCTTGGAAGGGGATTACAAGCTTTTCCAGTGTTTGAAAAGATGAGTTATTTTATGTTTTCAGCTCTTATCAGCTGAAATCAGCACTTGCCTCTCTCATGAGCTTATCTGCAGAGAGTTACTTGCTGGGTTTTGGCTTGTTTTTATTCTTTCTAGTCACATGTTCAGGTTCCTTCAGGCCTTGGGCAGTGAGTACTCAACCACTTCCTCGCAGCACCCAGAGGGTCCAAGTATGCAAAGTTTTTGCAGCACCAGGACAGAGATGGTGGGTGTGATTCAGCCCTTCTGTCACAGGTCTCCTGAGCCCCATGGACAGAAAAACTTGGAGCAATCACAGCTAGATATTAATTATTTGTCAGCCCCTGACTGGAAGGAAATGGCAAAGGCATCGTTGCCATGGGAAATTGGTGTCTCTGAATCAGGGATGGTTATCACTTCTGTTATTAAATGGGATATGCCCCAGTCTAACATGTTATTAAAGATTGGTATCTCACCCTTGGACAGAGCTACTCCCAGCACAGCACGTCAGAAAAAGAACAATTGTCCAAGCTTTTACTTGTCACCTAATATTGGATCCCATGGAGAACTACAAGGGATTACAGCTGAGGACTTGCATTCATGAAGTCACCCTTGGAGAAGAGAGCAGGACAGGCAGGAATACAGTTCCCAGTAATATCCCAAATTCCCACTCTCCCCAAGGGACAGGCATCCTTACCCTAGCTGCTGCATCTGTGAGCACGGCCAAGGCCTGGGACAGCTGGTGGAAAACTTCCGCTGGGAATGAGAGGAAAAATGGTAAGATACAGGAACCAGGGAAAAAAATCCATTATGGAAGAAGTCTACAAGACATCAGGAAGAACAATCACCTTTCCAAACGCAAACTCTAGGCAGGAGCACTTCAACTCAAAGGGCAACACCTGTTACACAACCTTGAGAGTAAATTAAAAAGGAAAAACTGGGATTGTTTCCTTGTTCCCCAAAACACTCCCTACCTGCCCACTAAACATTACCTAATATTTACCTAAAAAAGACTCATTATGTCCCCTAGAGATCAACTCAGATTTTATCCCCCAAATTTTTCCTACCTGCTCACTACTGATTTCTTCAGTTTCCTCAATATGTTCGCTCTCTCTCCTAGAGATTGACTTGGATTTTATGCCCAAAATTTCCCCTACTTCTTCACTACTGATTTCCCCAGAACTCTTGAAAACATAAATTTAACAGAGTCCATCTCCTCACCCTGCAGGCAGCTCAAACACCTCCTGAAAGACAATTTCTGCCTTGCACAACATCAGCTTTTCCACCTGAAATTTAACCTTTGCATTTCACACCAGTATTTCTGCCCCTCCTCCTGGAAGGTGACACAGATAAACTGGAAGCTTCCCCACACCCTCCACATCACTCCTCAATCTCCTGCAGATATCAAAGCTCCCAGATTTTCCCTCATTGCTGCTATTTTTTTCCCACTGTTGCTCACTGCTCCCTGGAGCTACAGAACTCAAAACCAGAGCAGGCCTTGCTATGTTTAGGTAAGCTCAGCTCCAGAGTCAGGGCCTTGTCTCTAATAAAACAGACCCTGCACATAGATAATATCATTTAGGAGGTGCTGTTGAAGTTTGGACTGTGAGTGATATGGATTAAAGCAGTGGCCAGGCACAGATCCGGGTTCAGGCACCACATGGGAAGATTTTGAGAGGTGCAATTCTAACTCCAGCACTGACTCAATGCTGATGTTTCTACACCCAACACAAATCATTTGACCTTAAAACCCACAGCTAATATCAATGACAGCCACTCTGAGCCCTCCCTGTGTGTACCTCAGGGGACAGACACTCCCTTAGTCACACCAAGGACAGTGCAGGGGTGAAGCAGAGCCACTTTCAGGAGGCTGTAGAGGTGAAAATTCCCAGGAAGAGCTGGTTCTGCACAGCCCATCTCACCTGCCCGGGGGTTGTCTGGGTTCTTGTCGGGGTGACATGTCAGGGCCTTCTGCCTGTAAGCCTTCTTCACCTGCAAGGGCCAGAATCCCCAGTTACTGCTGAGCGCTGGTTTGTCTGTGTCCAAAAATGCAACTTGGAAAAAAATTTCCTGTATTCAAGGGTATCCCTATTGCGCCCAGGACCCTTGCTGAGCAGGGAGGTGTGTTTTGAGTGAGTCTGAGCTTTCCAAAGACAGAGGTTTTGTGTCCAGGTGTGTTGTGTTATAGCAGTGAAAGTTGACAGGAATAGGGGAGAGGAAAAAAAGGGGGAGAGGAAAAAAGGGGAAAGAAAAAAAGGGGGAAGGGAAACAAAAAAAGGGGAAAGGAAACCAAATAGGGGAAAGGATAAAAAGAGGGAATGGGGAAAAGGGAGAAAGGAAAAAAAGGGAAAGGAAAAAAGGGGAAGGAAAAAAAAAGGGATAGGAAAAACAGGACAGGAAAAGGAAAGGCAATTGCTCTGTCCCACTGCCAAGCAATTCTTTGCTAAAAGCAGTAGAGAAAGTGGTGGCTCGGCACCATCTGGTGGCCAAGGCTCTAGGGATGGGAACGTGCAGGGAAAGTCTGCTTTTTTCACCTCTTCTGCCTGCTCTTATCTGCCACAAAGGGTCTTGGGGTCATTTGGAGTATTTTCCACCAAGGATTAACACTGTAAATTCTATTTGTCACTTTGTAAGTTGCACCATGATATTCAGTTGGTCATTCTTTCATCCTTTTTCCCCGGTGACAGCTCAGCTGGGAACCTGAGGTCACCTGGGGTCACCTGAAGCCTTTCACCTCACTCAATCCTCTGTGTTACAACTGGATTGTTCCCGTGGTGTGCTTTATTCACATGGAATTTCCAGGCAGCTCAAACACAGCTGCTGGTTGTGCCCAGATTGAGCTTCCAAGTTTTATCCTGTTGCTCTTCTTCAAGTGTCCTTCAAGTGTCACATGCCCATCTCAGTTGTTCAAATCACAAAATCCTGGAATGATTTGGGTTGGACCAGACCTTAAAGATCATCCAGTTCCAACTCCCCTGCCATGGGCAGGAACACCTTCCACTAGCCCAGGTTGCTCCAAGCCCTGTCCAACCTGGCCTGGAACACTCCCAGGGATGGAGGAGCCACACCACCCTCACAGGGAAGGATTTCTTCCCAATAACCAATCTAACCTGACCTTTGGCAGTGTAAAGCCATTCCCCCTTGTCCTGTCCCTCCAAGCCCTTGTCCAAAGCCCCTCTCCAGCTCTCCTGGAGCCCCTCTCCCTGTGTTTTGCACTGACCTACCAATTATATCCAGGAAAAAGTTGGAAACGTGTAATTCCAACCCCACAAAATGAACTAGATGGCTTATGGCCACTTCCAGCACTTAGACCAATCTCTAACAACTGGATTTTTTTGGATAAACACAGGTGCCTTCCTTTTGGAGGCACATAAACAAACAAAGTGAGAGGAGCAGGGTCTAAGACCAACTCTGCAGTTCCCCCCGGGTGATTTTCTCCTCCAAAGGCGGATCTCGCCCCGCAGGGCTGGGAATGCAGCGCGGTACACTGAGGCCAATAACGCCAGTAACAGTAAGACCAGGATTTTTCACCG